AGAATCAGCTCAATCAAAAAGTCCCGTTGTGTGGATTCTAAAGCCACACGCCTAGCCCTGTTGGGGGATCTGCAGTGGGCTGGCTTCCCAGCTCCTCGGTTTCATTAAGTTGCCCCCCTCCTGGGTAGTGTTTGAAGGAGTGAGAGCCAATTAGATGCCTCTGTGGAAGCATTAGTGGTTGTGCTGATATAATGTCGCCTGAAGTCTTCAGAGCAATCAAGTTTAGCTTTTGTCGGGGTCCACTGGGATTGTTTGTGTTTTTAACAAGTGAATTAAAGGTGTTTCGTAATGAAAACTTCCCTTAGCAAGGCTTCTCTGCTTCTGTGTTCTCTTGGCTAATTCTAAGGTTAGTACTTCTCAGGGGTACTGTGTCCCAGTGGCACAAGTGGCTAACACTTGACGACCAGCCTAGATAAAGGGTGACGGTTCCACCCCTCGGTGGCTCTGACGAAGAAAGGCCTGGGAAAAGGCTGTAACTACAGCTAGGAAAACCCTAGGGGGAAGTTCCAGCCTGTCAGAATCAACAGCAACGATTTCTGTGTTTTCGATAGCCTGTAACTCCCCCAGTTACTGTGGAGTCGATTCTGATTCAGTGACCTCTAGGACAGACTGGAACTCTCCAGAGGGTGTCCAACGCGGTCAGTGGGGACGCAGATAACCCCATCTTTCTCCTGCAGAGAATCCGGGGGATTCAAACCATGACCTGTTGGGTTAGCGGTTGAGTGATTTAACCACTCTGCCCCTCAGGGCCCGTTAGCCTGTAACACTAGACATACAAGCAACTATAAACTAAACCTCTTTTAGACAATTCAGGTGATTTCCCTTTGGCCACCATTCAATATAATGGTACCTGTCTTGGGTTGGAAAAAGGCACCCCGCCACTCAGTGTGCCTTGTCTGCCCAGCCAATAATGTGAAGAGAAACAGATAGAGGAGCGTGCATGCTATTGGCTCTGCCCTGTGACTGTTCACAATGGGCCCCTAGGCCTTCACCCTGCCATTGATGGTCACGAAACAAACCTTTAAAAGCTTTCACAGGCCAATTCAGCCGCAGTCCCACCCTAGTGGAGCCCTGGGGCCTTTCAGGTGATGAGGCTTCGGCAGTAGGTCTCCATCTGCAGAGAGCCACTGTGGCTGGGGGATATGCACTCCACCCCAGGGCTTGGACTTCCCGCCTCTGGATTGCACAAGGTGAAGAATTCTAGGGAAGGCTGAGAAACAAGTTGACATTACATTTTTTGAAGTTAACATCTTAGGATAACCGAAGAAGCCACTTGCTTTGGAGTCTGTCAAGGAGCAAAGCATTAGTGCTTCTTAGGTTGAGGGCCTCAGACCCAACGCACCCGCCCTCCAACTCTCCTCCTCTAACTCCTACCGATTAAATGGACCATGGGGGTGGGCGGGGACTGCTGTTTTTCAATTCTGGAGGGTCATTGGCATTGTTCAGCACGTTATTTGGATTAAAAAAACACAAACACAAAAAACCCACCATTGAGTCAATTCTGGCTCATGGCAATCTCCTAGGGCGGGAGAACTGCCCACCCCTGTGAGTTTCTAAGACTAACTCTCTAGGAGTAGAAAGCCCCATCTTTTCCCCTCCAAAGATCTGTAGACATGGGGTATTTAAAAAGTACCAATCCCCTCACTGCCAACGGGGACTTTTCACAACCTTATCTCCGGAGAACCCTTCCTGAGGTCAGATCAGCATTCCACTCCCCACCTCCCCTTTCACAATCATCTGTTATACTGCACTTGTGAATCTTACTGTGGGTGTTGCAGCAGAATGCGGACACCAACTCGGACCATCATGAGAGCCAATTATACGTATCTCTTTCCAGCTCTGCATTGAGGAAAGTCAAGTTGGTAATGTAAAATTGGCCATGGTGGAAATGTTTACACAACAGAGATCAGCAAATGCTACAAATAAAAATGTCTTCATTCTAGAAAACCAGTTTACTCACCCACCATGCTTATGGACATTCAAGTTTGCCCTCGGCCCCACAGGGATAACAGGGATGCTTTGATGTATCGAAGTACTGGACTCTAAAGGCTTTTTCAGACTGGCTCTACAATTTTTTTGCTCTCAACAAAATTGAAAGAGGACCCAATCAAGCCTCCTGATCAACCCTTTAACTTGATTTAAAAAATATAACAGTCTGCAGCCAATTAAACCGACCATCCTTCTCCTTGTGGGGGCCAGTGTGCAATGGCTGCAAACAACCAGCCTCCTAGGTAGTGTATGCAGTCTATTGCTATGTATAGGCTGCCCCAAGGGACCTTGGAGACAGCCTTTTGCTGCTTTTCGATGCCTCTGGTCTGGCTAATTTCTGCTCTCCCAGGCTCCAAACTGGGCTGCAAAGTGCTTTTGGGAAACCTCAAGGCACGGTGGCTAGAGTCCACATTGGCCAGGTTATCATGTCCATCCACACCAACCTTCAAAACAAGGAGCAGGTGATTGAGGCCTTATGCAGAGCCAAGTTCAAGTTTCCTGGGCACTGGAAGATCCACATCTCGAAGAAGTGGGGCTTCACCAAGTTTAATGCCAATGAGTTTGAGGATATGGTGGCTGAGAAGTATCTCACCCCGGATGGCTGTGGAGTCAAATACATCCTTCACCATGGCCCCTTGGACAAGTGGTGGCCCTGCATTCATGAAGGCCTTGGTAGCCCTGTGCTGCCTCACTTGTACCCACCAAATAAAAATTGAACTTCTTGATTAAATATATATATATATATATATCTCAGAAGTTGTTATAGCAAAATTCCTTTCCTATGTTAGTGTGTATATGTGCGATCCTCAGTGCTTGCACCCATTAAAATAAAAAACAGGAATAACACTGAAGGTGAACCCAAATTCTGTCCAGTAATATATCATTTCTATCAATGGTTAATGTTCTTCCTGATTGAGGAGAGGGTGTGAGGACAGATAAACTAGCCCCTTCATCTCATCTAAAGATGCACTTCCAATACAAGGCAAATTTATGCTTAATATCAAATGTATTATCTATTTGTGCATTGTTAACCATTGGATGATAATAATAGTAATTCAAT